TGTTCGTTGCAACGTTAACTGATGAATGATTGTTCGTTGCAAGATTTACTAATGAATCATAATTCATTGCAGCGTTGTTTAATGGAAGATTATTCGTTGCAAGATTTACTAATGGAAGATTGTTCGTTGCAACTTGCAACGTTAACTGATGAATGATTTTTCGTACTCGTATTCGTAAAATTGGACGCGGCCATCCTAGATGAATTTATGTCGAAATGTAAATGTTTATATATTTATCAGTAGAAGACGATAGAATCATTCTCCAATCATTTAGTTTCTTTTCGAAGATGTCCCTAAATATTTTTCATATTTTAATAAATGTTCTTTTCGATTTAATGTAATCGAGCATTTTGAAAAGGATAATTAAAATTGTTATTCTTAATGAATGCTGAATTTTATTGTCACCAGAAGATCTCTGCCAAAGAAATGAAGTAAATGTCAATATTTCATTGAGGCTGATTTTTAAAGAAATACACAACGATGGATATCGATTTATCTTATGTAAAAACAAATGAAAATGTACCAATGGCATCTCGAGATCGTCAATCCTTTAGTCAATTAATTAATTTTATGAATGAAGAATCAAACAAAGTTGGTGAAAATCGTATAAAAGAACTTTTTGCAGTCTTTCGATTAGCTTTTGAATAAGCAAATTTGATTTACCAGTTTTGTATATGTATTCGTTCTGTTTTCTTGCGAAGTTCATTGAAAAATCATTTCTATACCGCCCATTATTTCGAGCTATCAAACAAGAATATGAAGTGTATTGATACACTCGTAATGGGCGCCGAAGAAGTCGAAGCAATGAGTGCTGATCTTCAGCGTCTTGTTCTACGACCAAAAACATTTTTATTTCGACAAAAATGATGCATGGAGTTAGAAGACAAGTATGTTGAGTACAGCACAGAAGGAAACAACACATTTCATTCACAGATTTGCGATTATAGAACACGAAAATAAACAGATGAAACGAGAATCGCTCAATTATTAGCTCAAGCGAGAGTTGATGAAATAGAGACAGCAAAAGAAGCTTTTAGCAATATTGATCGATCTGCTTCATCGGGGACTGGTCATCGGTGTATACCAGGTTGAAATTCATTTTGCTTTATTGCCGATAATCTATGAAATTCTATTCGTAGGTTTAACATTTACCGAAGAAACAGATTTAAAGTCTTTGGAAAAATATTATGATTTTCTTCGAGATAAATATTCATGTCTTCAAGACAATGCCGCAACTAAATATACAATGAAAGAAAAACGAACTGAAATGCTTCAATTTTTTGAGCAAAAGCTGTCGGATTTAGATAAAGATCGTGAACAACGATTAGCATTGCGTAATCGTTTACGCTTGCATAACCTTCTACGGAGAACTATTAAGAAATACATCGAGGAAAAACAAACATTACATTATCAACAATAAAAATAAATTCAAATTCATCAGAAGATTTTCTCATAAATGCAATCTATGAATCGTCTCATATGTTTCCAAAAAGTATGATTCTCTTTCATAAAAGCAATTACGAAATATAATTGTATTCATAGGTGAACAAGACAATGATGATGATGTCGAGGGTGAAACATTATATTATAAAGAAGCTGGAATGTTATTAGATCATATTGAAATTTTTATGAATTTGATAGTAAAAGGAAATTACAAAGAAGCATCTTATGTAGCCGCGTGTAGTCCGAAAGGAGTTTTAAGAAATATGGAAACATTACTGAAGTTTAAAGGTAGAATATGCACCATCCAGAACATATATTTCTTTATGAAATTTAGCACTTAAACAGTCATTCAATGAGGATATCAGTCCATGGCTTTGCCATTGTAAAGTATTAGCTGAAACAGCTCGGGAAGCACCATTTATACCAAATATGATCATATCATTAGAATGTGCTAAAGCAGCACGTAGTAAAAACCATATTAAATTTCTTTATAAATGGATCGCGGGAGAAAGGTAAGACAATTTTATTTTCGTATATAATACTTTTTGTTTGTTTGATAGATTGACGTGTTTCGATGAAATGGCACAGCTTGCTGAACGATTAAATACTGTTGATTTAGCTGAATTTATCTATCGTAAAGCTAATGGTCATTATGAAGTCGCTTCGTATCTTTTACAAGCAGATAAATTGATCGGTTCGATCTCTCATAAGATATGATTTTTCTTTTAGATTCGTCAAAACAATGTTTGGATCATCTCATGTATGTTGCTCGTTCAATTCCATCAATGCAAGAGTTACTTCAAGGGGGGAAAAGCGGATTATCGGGTCCTCTGTATCCCCGATGTATTGTGCGTATCCCTTGTATTCCCGATGTATCGTACGTATCCCCTGTATTCCCAATGTATCATGCGTATCCTCTGTATCCCCGATGCATCCTTCATATCCCCAATGAATCCTCCGTATCGTCTAGCTTCTCTATAGTCATTCGATATCTTATGTATCTTCAGTATCTTCTTCATAGTCGATTTATTCTTGTTATATGCTATAATCTACATTATACGAAAAATATTTTCATGTGATAGAACATTGAAATTATTTAAATTTCTAAAGAAGATTAAAAAATGTGGAAACTTCGGATTTCATCCGAGAGTTATGTGTACTGCAAAAAGTGCATGGGACATATGAGTCATTCTAGAATGTCTGAACACCAAAATTATCATGAGAAACTAGGCAATTT